CCATCTCTGGGCTACAGCACAAAGAAGAAAGAAAAGCTGAAGAAACGGGTAATTGTGACACCAAGAGACAAGCAAGTGAGGTTAAATTGCTGTCTGCCCTTTATCTGCCACCAAGTCTCACCAGATTCACTGTGCATACCAAGTGGCATCTCTCTCTCTCTCTCTGTGTGTGTGTGTGTGTGTGTGTGTGTGTGTGTGTGTGAGAGAGAGAGAGAGAGAGAGAGAGAGAGAGAGAGAGAGAGAGAGAGAGAGAGAGAGAGAGAGAGAGAGAGAGAGAGAGAGAGAGAGAGAGAGAGTGAGTTTACAGAGGTTAATGCAGAAGCTTTATGAGAAAGTATAATGGAAGCAATTATTTAGATATGTATTCAAGTTCCACCTGAGTTGCTAAAGATTACCAAACACCAGCATTGTAGCTTTTAAACTATCCTTCAAAATGAGTTACTAAAGATTACCAAACACCAGCATTGTAGCTTTTAAACTATCCTTCAAAATGTTTTAGTCAAACAACCCATTATATATTTTACATTAAGTTGATTCTTCCTTGCAAGACATATATGCAATGATGGAATATTATGATACATTTCATTTTGCAAACTAAAGGCAAAACTTTTCTCCATTAAAAAGAAGCAAATCTCCTGATCAAGCAGTTTTGCCTACTTAAGGATCAGTCCATTAGACAAAAAAGTACCAAGGACATATTCCTAACTAACTTTTCAGCACAGGACATTTTATTGCACACAATTCTGGAACCGGGTATAAAGGTTGTCGTTGGTTCCATCAAAATAATGTCTCCAATAAACAATTTTGAAATTCTCAAGACCAAAAGCATTATCTGCTAGTATTAAATTATGAAGATAAAAGTCCAGAGAAGTTGAGACCATTTCTAACCTGGGCATTTTCCTCTTCCCCTTTATCGCTACTAATTTATCATTGCTTGATGATGGACTTGGATTAGTTTATAAGTGCTACATGTCTTTGCAAACTAGTCAATAAGCAATAGGCAACTTTTCCACCAGAAGCAAGCATGAAGGAAGAATCAAACCTGCATAATTATCTGATTATTTAAACAGTCCATACCAGCATAGTGGAACAAAGATTTTACAACTTATGCATAATTAAATAACTGGTTCATTTAGCATTAAGACAAACCTCAGGGTCTGGGAAAGTCAACTAGAGACTATTGATTAAATCGGATCCAAAATCAATCCAAAGTCCCATTTGCGAATCAATAAAGGATAAATGTTTCTTGACTTGCATTTCTGATTGAAGTTCTGCATAAGTGGGCTATCTTTTATAGAGGACACGCCAACTTCAGAGGAATTGTCCTGGGAAGTATGAAGATCAACTACATAGGAATTTGAGTCTTCACACATTTCAAAGTCACTGTATGAACTGCACCCAGTATTTTGTGAGCTTTTATGAGCTGCTTGGGTATTTTCTGCTTAAGATATTAAGCTACTACTGCTCAATACCGTGTGTGTGTGTGTGTGTGTGTGTGTGTGTGTTTCAAAACTAAGGGCTGGAGCATAAACACAACCCTCGGAGATTCTATTTTTGAAAAAATAGAGAGAGAACTTCTTAAATTGTTCCAATAGCTTAAAACAATGGAAATCTCAGATGAAATGTTATTTGTGGCAACGGCTTTCAATTTAACCAAACTTTAAAACCCAACAAAAGGGAGAAAAAAGTTATTTTCTTTATGAAATCATCCAGCTCAACTACAAAATGGAGGATAGGACACAGTATTATTCACCTGAATTACTTGTTTTCTATGTAATACAGTCATCTTAAAGATCCACAATGCCTTTTGCAAGATCACTGATCCTGTTGATCAACTATCATAGAAGAGATACCCTGAACATTAGTAGAATTTTTAATAACAGTCAAGAGATGCAATCAAACTGTTCCCAAAGCTTTTTCTATAAAATTGTAGAAATTCTCTTAAATATACACATTTTAGCATATCATGTGGGCTTGTGTATTAAAACCTGAAGTTTTGCATGGATTATCCTATAGTAGGCAGCTTTTTTCCATTAATTCCTTTTTCAAACATTGTATAAGTCACAACTCCTTTTTTAAAAAAATTGGCTCCATAAAATATTGTAATAAAAGACTCAGATAAGCCAGTTAAAACATCCCTGGATTTAAACACTAAATTTGCTTGTATTCTTCCTTCCCCCACCACCATTCCACTAAATGGCATGCAAATCGTGTTGAATTTATGCTTAGTCCCCCCCAAAAAGTGTATTTAGGGATTGCAGAACTGGTGAAGTGTAGGGTTGTTGGCAAAGTTAATTAGTGCGGTAAGATATTTCGGGAGAAATAATATTGACTACGTGATTGCTGGAATGCTCAAACATTTCCCTCTGGAAGAAGTCATAAGTGATAACTGTCATCAGAGATTTCACTTAAAGCTCATAAACTGCTAGCCATACTTAGTATTCACTGCGGCTGGAATGAAATGAAGTGTTTTTGAATGAAGTCTGTTCTGAAATGATTTTTTTTTCAGGAAGGTGAGGTTAGAGTTTGGGACTGGTCCCCAGTGGTGGGAGGCTGTGAAGCAGCTTCTTTGCACATCTCTGAGTGAGACAGTCAAGCTGTCAGCACAAACGTCTTCAGGAATTCCAGCGTTGGGGGTCTGCAAAGTTTCAACAGACAGACAGAAGAGCTGCGTTTCAAATACTTAGCAAGATGAATAATGCTCGGCAGACACTTCAATGGTGCTTTCATAGTTCCTGAAGTTTATGATCAAAAGTACCAACTGGATCTGCAAGTCATTCGTCCTCTTCTACATAGGTCGATGGAAACCAGCCCACCTAAATGAGAAAAGAAACATGGTGTCAGATTGTTTGTTTGACTCAAGATAATTTTGTGCATGACCCTTTCAATTAGAAAATGATTTAGAAAAGGATAAAAATTGCAACAAATTAACTGTTGCAGCAGAACATGTACTGTCTCTTTGGAGAAATATACATTTAATCATCAATAGGCCTGACAGAAATTCAGATATGGTTCTCAGCCGATATGTTTACTGCAATCATTTCAGACTGGAGATGGAAATGTATAGAACTAAATTCTGTTCCATCTACGATCAACAGGGTAGTTTCACCTGTTAACCTACTTTCTGGCAGTAGGAAAGCACAGTTGCAAGCCAACATTTGTGGCCACTATGTTCCTTTCTTCTGTTGGCTAGATGGGGAGCAAACTTCTGATGAAGTGAGCTGTATCTCACAAAAGATCTTAATAATATTTGTTAAACTGGAAAAGGTGCTCCCAGTCTCCTTTTGATTTTGATTTTCTGTCTAACAACAAAAGATTTCCTCTTGTTCCAATCCACTTTCCTATAGGATAGGCCAGGGGTAAGCAACCTTGGCTCTTTTATGACTCATGGACTTCAACTCCCAGAATTCCTAATCCAGTCATGCTGGCTCAGGAATTCTGGGAGTCCACGAGTCATAAAAGAGCCAAGGTTGCCTACCCCCGGGATAGGCAAAAGAGAAGCAATCAATCCCTTGGTGGAGCAATAGTTGAAATGGACGTTTCCCTTTCTCTTAAAGAAACATGTGCAGTGCATGAATCAGAACTCCCCACTTCTCATTCTCTGTTGCTAGAATTTAGAATAGAATAGAGCTTGAAAGGGCCTTGGAGGTCTTCTAGTCCAGCCCCCTGTTCAAGCAAGAAGTGATTGTCTAGCCTCTTCTTAAAAATCTCCAGTGATGGAGCGCCCACGATTTCTGGAGGCAAGCTGTTCCACTGGTTAATTGTCCTCACTGTAAGGAAGTTTCTCCTTAATTCCAGGTTGCTTCTCTCTTTGATCAGTTTCCAACCACTGTTTCTTGTCCTGTCCTCTGGTGCTTCGGTGAATAACGTGATCCCATCTTCTTGGTGGCAGCCCCTCAAATACTGGAATTCTGCTATCATGTCTCATCATGAAAGAGAGATGTGGCACATCTCTTCCTCATCTGGCTTTTTGTCCATTTCTGGAATTGAGGGCAGATGCTGGACTGCTGCAACATCACTAGGATAAAACCCCTCCACATCTTTAGCTTCCACATTGGGAGGGAGGATTTTTGCTTATTACTTTGCTGCCACTTTGATGGCAGGCAGCGTTAGCAAAAAGGCTGTCATTTGAGATAACCCCTTTCTGAACTAGTCCATCTCCACATGCCTTCATTTGGAAGATGAGAACATCATATCCAAAAATCTGGTTCAGAAATGAAGTTCAAACTATTTTGGGCCTTCAACAGAAGTTCTGGTTCATTTCTTTTGAAAGGCAAAGGGAAAATATTTTTACGGTATCTTTTTGTTAATTTAAGCACATAATTTATGGTCTGAAGACATGAAACTCCTCTGAATTCAACATGGACATATTCAAGAACAACCTCCCCCATGCCTGAAAAGTTTTCGGTCACTGTTCTAACATAGGCCAGCAAAACATGGACACTAACCTCAGAATCGATACAAAAGCTACAAGTGGTGCACAGAGCTATGGAAAGATACATGCTCAGCATCACAAGACAAGCTAGAAAGACCTGCACGTGGTATACAATATCACCAAGAGAGTAAAAGAACTGCAATGGAAATGGGCTGGTCACATAGCAAGAAGAACTGATGGAAGGTGGACTAAGGCAGTCACAGAATTCCACTTGATAAAAAGCATCCACAAAAGAAACCTAAAACAAGATGGAGTGACAACATCAGCAAAAGAAAGCTTAGGACCATGTTGGTTGGAAACATGCAGAAGAGGCCTTCATCCTGCAGTGGATAGACAATGGCTAGAATGATGATGATGATGATGATGATGATGATGATGATGATGATGATGATGATATTGTAGACAACTAGACTACTGTAGTCTATAGTTAATTTAAATTTCAGAAAGACAGCAAGAACTTTTCACATTTTCATGGGAAATTACTAAATATTCAATTCCAATATACTTAATACCATATACATTACATACAAATTAAGAATCAGGAGGAAGATAGAGAAAGGCTTACCCTTCCATTGACTTCACCTCTCCACCAGCCATTGGCACTAATTTTTGTGTAAATTTTGACCACATCCCCTTTGAGCAGGGATAATTCACGCATGTCTCTTGCACAGAAATCGTAGCGAGCGATGGCTATCCCGAGGACTTTGGGACTCAGCACTGGAGGGGGAAATACAGGTAGGTAACATTATTTGAAGTTTCACAACTGCACAGCAACTGAGTAACATTAGCAACACTTTCTGTATACCAGTCTAATACAAGTGCAAGCAGAAATGAAGAGATGTGTGGTCTTATGGAATAGCATGAATGAAATCCATTCCATGCAATCAGGTTTTTTTTCTTATTGCTTGCTGGTTGGATTTATTTAGAAAAAAAATTACATATTCCTACAATCATTTGCTGAGATGTCTAAAGACCGTAGGCCTATTCTTTGCGCTTCTGAGGGATTTTGCTTCTTCTCTCTCATTTTCAAGTTGTTTCTCTAAATCAGCTTCTTGATATCAATGAATCCTCCTAAGTTGTAAGAAGAACCAATATAAACAGCACCTTCTTCTTCTTCTCCTCACTTTTTGATTCAAAGATACTGATAAATGTGCCTCCTTGAATTTTGACCATTTTACTGAAATCAATGAGGCATATTTCTAAGGGCAAATTATTCTCCAATGATTCCTAAATAGAGTATTTCTGGACTAAGAACACTTTTTCCAGGACACGAATGTAAAGCTCTGGAGTTTCAATGTGACTAAAAAGTGCATAGAAAAATTACAGAATTTACTGAGGTCAAACACTAAGCCATTATGGCTTTGGTTCCTCCAGCCCCGAGTCTCAGTTCTTTCAAAGTAAGGGACAGCCTCTCCTTTAATTTTCCCAAACTGCCTATTCCTCCCCATTTTTGCCCTTTTGGCTACTCAGCATACTGCCTTACTAGCAGTCTCCAAACCACATGGCTCTGGGCCTGGGTCTGAGGCTTCTTGTGGTCCTGTGGGTCTGAAGCTTCTTGGCACACTGTGCTGCTGGGTCTGCAACAAGCCCAAGCTGCAGTGCAGCATGAAGCTGTAGACCTATTAGGAAGCCTTGACAACCCCAGCCTGGCAAAGCCACAGGTTCCCTGAGAAGTCTCAGCACAGCAGTGCGGTACAAAGTTGCAGCTACCCTAGGAAGCCCCAGCCCAGCCTAGCAGTGGGACACAAAACCACAGTTGCCCCCCTAGAGCATGAAACATAGCCACCTGAAAAAGCCTCAACACAGCTCAGCAGTGTGGCACAAAGCCACAGCCACCCTGGGAAGCTGCTGCCACCCCAACCACAGTTGCCTTTGCCACCTTGTGCTCCTCCATTTTTTTGTTCCCACTGCTGCAAAGGCATGCCCCCCCCCAATTTGGCCCTTTACACAACAGTTGTGGCCCACATGAGGTCATCTTCTCCAGGTCTTGCAAGGAAACCACTTATGCAATTTAGAGAAAAAAGTTCTGGGCTGCCAAGTTTTGATCACGTGACTGCAGCGGCACTGCAACAACTGTAACTTCAGGGATTGGTTGTTAAGTTCCTTCATTCAGCGCCACTGTAACTTCAAACAGTTACTGAATGAATGGTCATTAAGCAAGGACTACTTGTAAGATGCTGCTATTAAGAGAAGGCACATGAGGTGCATTCAAGAGGCCAGGCCAAACCTTCCCACAGAAAAAGATCAAAAGGCACAAAGCATCATCTCCCTTAGTATCAGTGATGATCAAATTGTGCATACATGCCATTGTGAAACTGCAAAAAAAAAAAAAAGTGGGAGGAGCTGTGGAAAATACATTAGAGAGCAAAACTCAGCAATAAACTCTACCAGATGAACCTGATGAAAGGCCATCATATGGAAGACTATATGAGTCACCTGAACTTTGAGGTGAGCAGCAAATAAATTTGATAAATAATCTATATTAGATGCGCTATATAAATGGTTAAAGTCCTGCAAGTTTCAGAGATAAAATGACTGCATACTATAATTTGCAGATTTGCAGCTATATAGTCTATACGTGCATGAGCACACACACACAAACACACACGCAAAGAGAGAGAGTGTCGCATCAAAAGAAAATTCACTGAACAACGAAATATGAATCAAAGATATGTCTATTGATTTTAAGGTACAGGAATGGAGCTACCATGTTCCTAAAGTTAAGAATATAAAGCAAAGATAATAATAATAATAATAATAATAATAATAATAATAATAATAATAATAATAATAATAATAATAATAATAATAATAATAATAATAATAATAGTAATAGTAATAGTAATAGTAATAGTAGATTTAGATTTTAGATTTTATTAAATTTATACCCCGCCCTTCTCCCGGAGGACTCAGGGCGGCTTACAGCCAGTTTAAAACAATGATATAATACAATACAAACTTTAAAAAAGATTAAAAATAACTATTTAAATTTGGCCGCTTCTACTAAAAATTTAATTTAAAACCCCTTTAAAATACCCCTAGGCCAGTCCTGCNCGGGATCACCCGGATCTCTGGGGGCAGCTCGTTCCAGAGGGTGGGTGCTCCGACAGAGAAGGCTCTCCCCCTGGGGGTCGCCAGCCGACACTGTCTGGCTGACGGCACCCTGAGGAGGCCCTCTCTGTGGGAGCGTATCGGCCGGTGGGAGGCAATCTGTGGCAGAAGGCGGTCTCGGAGGTAACCAGGTCCAATGCCAAGAATTGAAGGGGTCTTGGAGGTCTTCTAGTCTAACCCCTGCTCAGACATTTTGAACATTGAACCCAAACCCTTTCATCCTAGCAAAAATGCTACTGTGCAAATGACTATACTGCAAAGACATTAAGTTCTACCTCCTGCTTTCGTAAAAAGCATTAATAATCAGCAATACTTTTTTCCTAAATTTAAAACTGAAGGTTTGTGCCTAAGATGAACTCACATTCTGAAAACCAATTCCGCTGTTTTTTGTCACTACAGAATCTATTGCATAATCCTTCAAAGTAGCCGATAATACAAATATGCTCAAAAAAATATTTTAGGGAAATAGAATGGAGTCTAATAATAGCATCCAATAGTTTATATTAACTGACATTATGATACATACCGTTCACTATTGGCTAGACACATTAATTAAACAAACACCTGCACAAAAGTTGTAAAATGCCATAACTCTTTTACTACGTGGCATTATGAGAAATATATTAACAGTGACAGGAGAAAAGCAAGGAGAAAAAGAAAAGCAGCAATAATTCACACTGACAGAGCAATAAAAACATACAGTGATTGTTTAAATCAGGCAAAATATTGTCACTAATACTCCAAAATAAACAAGATTTGATTTGGCTTGATCCAATCCAATCTAATCTAATCTAATCTAATCTATCAAACATTCTGTTTCCCATAGCAGCCAGAAAGATGCATTCTGGAAGGCCAACAATATGAGATAAAAGATTGTGCCCAGCAGCATCTGTCCCCTGAGAAACCATTGACTCTATATGTAAAACTTTCATTTAGCCTTCTTAATTGTCCGTGATCTTTCCAGATTCATTTAATTCCCATATAAACAGCTATTTGTCTGAGTAGATCACAACAATGAAGATACCCCTCTCTTTAAGGAGAGCTCTGCCACATAGTGAAAATCTATAGCTCTGAGGCTGAATTTATATGCATAGAAACATCTGGAGTTCTATAACTACTGTCCATCATGTTTTGCCACTGCTGGGACTCAAATAAACATCCCAGGAAGGAATGGAAGAACACATCAAAGCCCTCTTCATCCATCCCAGGATTGTTTCTATCTATCTTGGGCAGTTAATCTTCTCACCTCAGGAACAACCAAGGAGATTTTCAAAAAATGACAAAATTGAGTCAACAAATTACGTTTCCCATCCCAAAGCAGACAGCTGAGCATCTGGTCAATGCATTCCAATAGTTAGCACTGTGAGTTAGTAGAAAGCTTAACAAAGAGTTATATAAAAAGTTATTTTCCTTGATCTGCCTGAATGGGAACATCTGCCCTCACTTACTGTCCTCTTCTATTAACTTTGAACATTACCAGATGTGGCTTTAGATCCATGTAGGAAGGAAGCAAGTTGCAGTTATCATCAATTAATCCAGCATATTGTAAAATCCTTTCCATCGTATTGGGCCCTAGCTTCCTCTGGTTACAATGAGGAGGATTTGTGCAAACAGGGAACTTCACTAGCAGATTTGGTATTTCCCATCACATCATGTTCTAATTTAAACAGCCTCCATCTTCAGTCCTACACATCATAATGTTGGGATTCAGAACTGAGTAAATGATTCATCTACCTAAATATAATGCCGGAAATTTGACACCTCTAATTATTGCAGGAAAAAAATATCCTATCCTTTTAAGGCACAAATGTCTTTTGGTGGGTGACACAATGAGAGAAGTGACTAAAGGAAACACAAATGCATAGAAGATGGATAAAATTAACTTACAGACAATGCACATGCAAAACTGCTGTATATGGAAAGCTATCTTCCTTCTTGTACTTTATCCGAAAATGGTCTGGCAAAAAGGCTTTTAGGGATGGGACGAATATTTGAGGGCACCAAAAATAGAGTAGACCCATTTAAGAATATCAATAGCTATGCATAATGTAATCATATTTTTAATTAGTTTTGATTGGCAACATGGGTACTTTCACCAATATTCTGAAAACATAACATTCCAGAACCAGTTTTTTTGGCATTCCCTGCATAGCTGGCAGAACATTTAGATGACCTTCTTGAATGTCAAAGAGCAATATCACATGACAGCCCCAAATCACTCACTTTTTCACGTGCTTTAAACATTCTCCAGCTGGGTCAGAGCTGCTGAGAGTAAATCACTTCCATGGAGCTAGAGTAACATATTTGTAAACCGCAGTTGTGTTTTAAGTCAAATTATGTTCCGGGGTTGGGCAATGAATCCGTCCCTTCCCTAGCTTGCACCGCACATAGAAACTGAAATACCGAACTTGTGAAACAAGCAAATGGAGAATAAATAGAAAGCAGTAAAGCAGTACCTGACCAAAAAGGAGTGGAGGAAGGGGGAACAAAGCTGTAGTCTGGCAGAGTTACAAAAGAAAACCCACAGAACAAAGAAGGGTCTTAGAAAAAGAAAAGAAGAAAAAAAGAGAGAAGCAAAATGACATTGAATGATTGGTAAAAAAAAAAATTGCGTTCAAATATTGTTATCACTGGCATCTGTTTTTAAGAAGAAACAAATATTTTCTTGGCTGTTTTGCAGTTTTTTGTTTTAAAAAACCTTCTTACCTGCTTAAAGGCATAGTTTACTCCTCTGATTTGGCCATTTCATTCCCTCACTCCCTCCTGCAACTTACTAGGAACATTTTGCAAAAAGGATGAATTTCCATAGACGAGGATGCAATTCATTTTTATGCACTTGCTTATGCCACCCTGTATGTTGGAGTGGCAATTGTTTTAGCAAGCAACTGTAGCTTAATAGCTCTGTGTCAGATTAAAGCTTCCCATCTCCAGTCAGCCATGGGTAATTTGGGTCACCCATAGCAAACTGGAAGGATAACAATGGATTTGCAGAAGACACATGAATACCATCTTGAATTCATCTCATTTCAAGCAAGTGGGGCATTTATTAGCTTTATTTTGTTTCCATACCCCAGAAAGAGTTGCAAAGGTAAAAGATGAATGTATGGGTATTTTCAATAATAGTCTTCATAGCATGCCGGCAAAATGTATGGACTTTCAGCTGCTTTTAAGTTCCCGAAACACTTAGAAATAGATATGAAATCCTCCATAACACATGGACCATTTAGTATCATAAGGAGCAGCAAAAAAAACATTGTGAGATGTACAAATCCATTTCCTGAATCACTCTGATTTTCTTAACAGCTGCAAAGCAGGGCCCATAGTAAGGGCAATTTGCAAAGCTTTTTCAAAGACCTATGAACTAGTTAGTGTATTTTAATACAATAAGCAGAAGAGTTGAACAAGTATTAACATAGTTGTGATAAAACTATGATGCTTCTGACAATCATTTTCTAATTCATCCAAACTGGAAAATCACGGGTATCCATTTCTGAACAAGCATAGGTACTAAACCACACTTTTGAAGTTGCCTATGGTTGCCTACGAAAATGGTAGCTGGGAGGTTGGAGTTACAGTTAGTCAAAGTAATCACACTGAAATAAATGAGATTTAAGAAGTGCTATTCATTTCAGTGGTAACTGAAGTACAAACTCAGTTTGATGGGAGAAATTGACGAATTAGGAAATTATAGTTAATCCCTGATCTGATTGGGAAGGGAAGAGTACTGAAACTGATCATGTAGGCAAAAGATTTATGAATATCTCAGCTTATTAAGCAGCTCCACACATAGCCAATAATTACCACATTCAACCCTAAATCTTATATTGCTATGGGGGTAGAAGCTTAAAACTACAACATCTTCTAGCTGCTTCCGGTTTAGCAGAAAACAGATTGCCTATCTCTTTCCCCAAATTAACAGGCAGTGAGACACCAAGAAACCTAACAGCCATCTTCAATGAGAAACAATACAGAAGCCATCCCACAGTGTTATTGCACACAAGCAAAAATTTGTCTTTTTATCATACAATTAAGCTTTCTCAATCATAGAATATAACAAAACGTCCAGAAGGGATTATCTTCTGCCAATAACACATTTTTTTCTTTTAATGTGTTGAAAAGAACTTTTAACAATACTGTTAAAAGTGAAAAGACAGAATAGCTTGAGAGCTAGGGACCAACTCTTTGGAAAGCCACTGAAAATCCCAGGAAAAAAAAAAGCCCCAATCAGTTAATTCTCCATATTATGAAAAACTCATAGCTGGAAATTAGTGCTAGGAAATTATTATTAGCTGAAAATTACTGCTACAGATCACTTCACAAATGATCTTCTATTGCTGAGATGACCTGATGCTAGTTCAAGCTCACAAGATTTGTCGATTCTTGTGAAACAATTGCAAATAATTGTGCTGTGGCTTTTGTGTTTATAACTCTCACACTGCAGTCTCTCTGACTGATTAAATCAAGTTATTTAATATTTGGAGGCATTTTGAAAAAATAGGTTACAAAGCTGAAGAAGGAGAAAGAGTCTCATTCCTTTTGCAGTGTCCTGAATCCAAATTATTTAACATGGGGGTCTTCAAACTTGGCCCTCTTATGACTTGTGGACTTCAACTCTCAGAATTTCTCAGCCAGCGTGCCTGGAATTCTGGGAGTTGAAGTCCACAAGTCATAAGAGGGCCAATTTTGAAGACCTCTGATTTAACAGCTTGCTGCATCAATGCATTTACTTATTTGCTCTGTTTCCACAGTGCCAGAAAACATGAAGTTGACATTAGTGGCCTTTTCTACTTGAAGATGAAAGAATATACTGTGTGATACTTGTATTTGCTCCAACACAAGAAGAAAATAAAACATAACACAATGCCTCTAATCAAAATGATGCATGAACAATAAGAGTGAAGAATTTCTGTGGGAATGTCGCTTACTCATATCATTTCCTTAATTATTTTATCTACTCCCTGGTAGACTTTAGTCACCCTCTCCATTTTTATAAAGATGTGTAGTTGATCGTATGAGTCCCACCTCACTCTGCAGCCAAATGTTCATTGTCCATGGATGGATTTTTCTGATTGTGTCCTTGTTCCTCCACTGTGCGCAATCCTCTCCCAAATAAGTGACACATTTTCTTTCCTGCCAATGCTATTGGTTGTTGTTATTTTTCTGTTGACTTATAAGTGAGGAAGACTCTTTTGTAATCTTTCTATAGATATTAAGCATACCATTTCCCTATTTATTAGGTATATAAAGAATTGGCTCTGGAGGAAAAGGCCCTGTTCAAAATACGTAATGTCACAGCCTCCACTTGCCTGCTCCTAAGCATTTCAAAATATCTTCCTGTCTTTAATGGGTACTCAGAAAGGCTCTGAAATTATCCATCTGCTTCTCAGTAATTTAGCAGTGTATTAAAAGGGCATACGTGTGTCTACATGATTTTTAATCTTCTGCCATTATTTTTAGAAATTTCTATTGCTCATAAAATCTAAACTATCCAATTCCAGCACTGCAAAATTTGGCAGCAATCACAGTGGCTACAGAACCAAGTGAAGCCAATGAACAGATGCCCAGATGCTCTTAGCAATTTCAAATCAGATATCAGTACTACTATTCATGTTGTTTTACCAAATATTAAGGGCAGCATAAGTCACCTCTGTTAAACTCCACAGTACAGGTAGTCCTCAACTTACAACAGTTCATTTAGTGACCGTTCAAAGTTACAACGGCACTGAAAAAAGTGACTTATGAGTGCTTTTCAGAGTTACAACCTTTGCAGCATCCCCACGATCATGTGATCAAAATTCAGATGCTTGGCAACTGGCTCATATTTATGACCGTCGCAGTGTCCCAGGGTCATGTGATCACCTTTTGTGACCTTCTGAAAGCAAAGTCAATGGGGTAGCCAGATTCACTTAACAACCATGTTACTAACTTAAAAACTGCTGTGATTCACTTAACAACTGTGGCAAGAAAGGTCATAAAATGGGGCAAAACTCACTTAACAAATGTTTCACTTAACAACAGAAATTTTGGGCTCAATTGTGCTTGTAAGTTGAGGACTACTGGTTTTTGCAATAAGTTATAAACATATATGAATGAAAATGGATTTGTCTTTGTCCAACCTCAATTCGGTTACTCTAAAGTAAGTCTTATTTAGGAACACTAACAAGCAGCATTGTAGAAGAAATCATTCCGACCTCAAGCTTCTTTACAAAAACTCTGCATTATAAGACTGTGGTTTTAAACAACAGGAATAATTCATTTAAATGCCAAATGCCAAATTTGAATTACATGTTTATTAATTCATGTAGCCGAAAGCAGCTTAGCCAATGCAAAATGCCTGTTTACAAATCAATTGCTCACTTACATTTTTAATAGATGTTTGAGCAGCGATTTGATTTAAGGAGAGGCAGTCAGGAAGTCTAACTGGACCTGTTCATAAACCTGTCAGCAGATGCTGATTCTGCTTAGCTGCAGAAAAATCTGGCTAAATGCATTATCATATTAATAGGTTATATGTCAAAAATGCAAAACGAAGATGCTTTCAACTGAATTTCATTTCTGTATAATAAAAAACAACAACAAATGGTAATGCTTACAATTGCTACTTGCCCGGTGGCTCCTTTGATCCTGGGTATTTTCACATTCCTTGTACGGGTACTGAAGAGTAGTATCCAAACTTCTGAAGCCTTCTTTGAGAGATTGATGTTTGTAATATTCCACAAGTTCCTTCCAGGATACAAATATTTAGACAGAAGTTAATAATTATTTCTCTTGAATTTGTATTGCACGGATATTTGATGACATTTGCAATCAACATCGAAAGACATCTTGAAAACAGGGATTAACTGCAGGAAGTATATAATTTGGTGGAAAGAGAACCCAAAAGTGTTATGCAAGCAAATTTCACAAAATGTCCCATCTCTATTATAAAGCTGCAAGTTTGAGTGGGCCATTTTGAGCATTTTGGAAGTGCTCCTACTTAATCTGAACATATTGAAGCTCAGAACTTCACAAGTTCAGTCTTGAGATGCTTCCTTTATGATCAGAATCTCACCCACTCTGCTTTGAAAAGGCCATTTGGCAAAAATTCATACTCTAAATGTTTTGAACACACCCCTAGTGAGTTTTGATTCATGCATGAAAGATGCTGCTTGTTCATACCTGTAGAAATGGATCTTTATTCATGCAAGGGTGGCCTAATTCTTATCAAAGGTACTGTATGAATTAAACGTATCAACAAGCATCAGCTTTAAACACTTTTTACACTGAAAACAATTGCACATAAAAGCAATTAAATTTTAAATGGATTAAAATGGAACTGTTCTTCCAGTATCTGGTTTTCTATGTGCATGGAAGTATACCCTTCTGTGAATTTATGACATCCTTCATTCATGAGGGCCATAGTTCCAACCTAAATTTATTACATTACATAATGCTTACATTAATTATGCTTATTGTTGTTATCCAGGTTATTCCTTATAATACATACATGAAGTATTTTGCCCATCCATTTTTATTAATTGGTTTGTACCAGAAAGAAAATCACTCTCAACTGACTTGCAAAAAAAAAGAAACCAAACCACCTGGAAACAGTGGCAACTATTGGGAAAGAGCTAAAGAAACGAATAACTATATTGAAGCTTATATTTGACCAGATCAATGTTTATTGCAAATTTCTCCAGGACATACAGGATCAAATGTCCTTTCACACATATATTCATCAATTCAAAATGTGAAATTAGGTTTTCTGGTTTCACAATGCATGAGCCAAATACAGGACCCAAAGGAGATGTATGTATGTTAATATTTAGAATTTATCTTCATTCTTTTAGCTACACAGTAAGGGTACCAGTAAGCAATCCTATTGCTTCTTTTAATTGTTATTTAAACTGATATGAATACACCATATATGGATCAAAACTAGTTATCCACAAATTTTATGCTTCATTAATTTTGTGATAACGCACCGTTGATTATCACAGATAGATAGACAGACAGACAGACAGACAGACAGACAGACAGACAGACAGACAGACAGACAGACAGACAGACAATGACAGACAATGACAGACCAATGGATGGATATCACTGGAGTTACAAATCATTCAGAAAAAATGCTTCACAATCCATATTCACAATTCTTTCTGTTCAAATTATTAAAGCCAATGCACCTCCTTCTAGGATTCACGTGGCTGCTTTAAAAGCAATCTCTGGCTGTCTCCATCAGCACATATGCATAACCATTTTGAAATCAACAAAAGCATTTAACATTTACAGCAGTCTCTGTGCAGTTTGCAATCCTCAGCATATTGCCCCCAGCAATATGTTCTCATTTTATCAACCTCAGAAGAATAGAAGGCTGAGTCAACCTTGAGCCTCATCAGGATCAAACTCCAAGCTGTGGACAGAGTTTGCCTGCAATACTGTACTTTAACCACTGCATCAAGTAAGGATTTCACTAATGACAGCCTTTGAAGCACAGTGTGCATGTTGGGTTAAAGTAATTTAGCTTTCTTCATTAAAAAAAAAAACGGATGCCTTTAAACTCTTCTTTTTCTGGAAACTTTGGATATACTGTATATTTACATACAGACCAATATATGATTATAATAATAACAAATTCAACTACAGCTCATTTTTCTTAAAAGGATGACCAAACTGTATTGTAAACTTTAATGAGAGACAATATTAGAAATATGTATTTTGAGAAGAAGTATGCTTTAAATCATCTTTAAATCAATGGCTGTAAGAATAAACATGTGAAGAAGAATCAGTAACTCTTTACAGATTGAAAGATTTCATTTACTTTCTTGTTCTTCTCCTATTCTTGATTATTTTTAATGAACCTGCAGATAGTACAATCAGTATCTTAAAAAGTGGGAAAGAACTTTCAGTTGACAGATGCTTACAAACAACCATCAAAAACATTCAAAACAGACCTGACAAGCTTACTTCTAATCATTTTTTTTAGTTTCTTACATGCTAATAGCTTAATGAAAATGTATAAACCTGTGGCTAATACCGGCTTCTCCATTTGTATTAAAAATTGATTCAAGGGGGAAAAAAAGATATCCCTGGCAAATATGCTAGTGATTAATTGTCACAGCTGCATCAAAGCCAAACATTTAGATTTCATGAATTTCAAGTGGCAGATATTCAAGCACATGGTCCTTGGGATCAATGGGATTCAATATATTTAAGTTTGGCTTGATGGCATTTATTGCTTATAGTTTTGAAGGGCTGCTCTTCTGTTACATGTGAATATATGAAATATACAGCTCTCAATGGCGTGATAAATCTCCTGCTACTGCTGATCCCATCTCTATGTGGAAAGGTCACAGCCCCCTTCTAACATAATGTTTTCCCTTTATTGCTATGTGTGCAACAATATATTTTTACTGTAAGGTATATTTTCTGCAATCAGCCAGAAAAATACTGGGAAAGTAAATGGTGCAAAAGCTCAGATTGATACAATTTCTTGATAGACAAAGCAATAGCAGTGTTTGATACCGGTTTTCTGATTCAGTAACCTGAGAGTAAATTTCTGTGATATAATAAACGAGTTTTCCTTGTCAGAGGACTGCGTGTTTCATATAACAGTATACATAAATAATGGTCTTGCAAATATGTCTACATGGACATGTCAAAGGTCTATGAACCAGCCACTATTGCTTCTCTCTGTTTGTTTGCTTTTAAATAGCAGAAATCTTTAGCTAAAAGACTGTAGCTACACAGCTATCAGATAATGGCATGCCCCTGGCATGGTCCTAGTAAACAGTAGCTGTGGCTTGCCAAGTCAATGGTCTGTGAGAAGACATTCTCTGTATTTCATCAGATGGCATAAGTATCAAGACTGTGAAGCTTTTAAAAACAATATACAATGTACTTTCAAGAGTTATATCTATATCAGAACATGCACAGAAAATCCAACGTGTTATCTGAATTATAATGCACATGGCTCAAGGCTTCAGCACACAAAAGAAAATTTGGTCCAGATGTCTTCTCTCTGAAACAGATGGGTTTATTATAGTTTACTGGAACTCCAAAATAATCATAATCCTAAATTACCTTTTGAAAGTATTTGACTCAGTGCCTCAATATAAAACTTAAAGCCTGCAAAATACTAGCTGAGATCTTTCGTCAGCTATGAAGCTTACTAAAGGGAATCAATGTCTCTTGCCTATCCTAGTCTGCAGGATTGTTATAAAGGAAGAAAATAAAATCAATCATCTCAGAAGAAGGCATGATAAAAAATGTAATATAATAGATTGACATAAATATTGTGGCAATTTTCAAACAGCATTTTTTATATTCTGGAAAGGACTCGTTTTTTGGTGGAACCAGATAATCTGTTCCTCAGCCTTCAGATGGCTGTGTCTGATATTGCAGGTCTGTGTGTTTAGGATTCTTTTTTTTCCTGATTTAGTAAAAAATTAAAATCAGTGAAAGTTAGACAGTAGACAAATCAATTCAATGAATGAATAAATAAATAGAAATATGTAAAAAGATTATGTTTACTCAAAACAGTAATCTATCCACGGGATTTAGAAAAGTTACATTCTGGGCTTATTTTAAACATCCTTCACTTAAGATTCTAAAATGGCCCTTTACATTTTGTATATATTTGGAAATAAGTTCCATTGATCTATAGCAAGACTTTTTCAGAGTAAGCATGTGCAGATCAGATTGTAAAACATATTTAGCATTTGCTTAGTCTTTCTACAACAATAATGCAAGTCTTGCACTTTTAAAACAATGAATTATTTTACAAATAACTGTACAAATGCTAACTCTCACTCTTCTAACATTCTAATTCATTTGGAATCAATAGATCTTGGTATAATGAAATTAACTCAGAATAAATGATCATATAAATAACAATAGGGGAATACCAACACTATAGATAAAGGATCTAGAAATAATGCAAGTCATATATTTCACCAAATCCCTGAAATTCTTTAAGTAGAGCATGTTTCTGGTCCATCTGTTCCTCCCCACCAACTCTAAATTATAATATCTAAAGTAGACATGTCAAACTCGTGACGTCACGTGACATTGCGCGACGTATCAGAACTTTTCCCCCATTGCCAGCAATAGGGTGGGTGCGGTTTCCTCGTGACGTGTCCGGCCCATGGGCCAGCAGTTTGACACTCCTGATCTAAAGAAAACCATACTGACCAATGCAGAGATTAAGAAATATGCAAAAAGATCAAAGCAAAAGTATCTCCTTTATTCTGCTCTTTCAAACTACAGCAATTTCTTTCCAAAGTGAAAATATAAGATAAGTTATTAGTACAAACTGCTATTCATCACCAATTCATTCAATATAGTCATGCCAATCGGTCATCTGTAAGTCTCTGAAGCTATAATCAATTGGGTAGGCCAAGTTGAGCCTAAACCAATTGACATAAAAATATTATTTATGAAATATAAGCATTGCATAATTAGACCATTCTTGAATGATCGTTCTGGCTTAGGACTACTTCAAAAAGTTATTGCTAATCTTCCAGTAAACCAAAAGTGTACAGGATTCACACTTCCTGTTCCTGAATTTCCATTTCAAATATTAGTAAAGAAAAATAAAGTGGGAATAATATGTACTTCCTTCTTAGCATGGAAGTTATCACATCTTCATTACTGTAAAACTACAAGCAAATATACAGTATCTCTATCAGAATGTTCCCTCTTACAATTTTAATATAAATAAGCCAAATGAACTGGAATCTGTTTAATACATGCTAAGTCATGATCCTTATACTTTCAAACAATAATGAACATTGTCTTTTTTCATATGTATGGCTGCCCAGAGTTGTTGTTGTTATTGTTTTTGACAACTTTACAGGTGCTGGGAGATAGATTCATTTATTAATCACCTATTTCCAATGACAGTGAATGCAACTATTGTTAATATGTGTTAAAAACTAATCAGTTCACTGAAGGTATCTACTGTACCTTCAAAGCATTTGCCATGAATAAGGATAAGAACTATACACCAATTTAGTTTTATTTGCATTTTCTTTCTTTCTTTTTTCTTTTTTGACAAATCGATCCAGCTAGATAGTAATAACATAAAGCTAGATATGTCAACATTAAACATTTAGTAAGATAATGTCCAATTAAGGTATTTTTGGAAACAGGAAAACAAAATAAAAATTTATACGTACCATTAAACTTCTAAATTTTCTATTTTCTGCAATGTGAAAAAAGCTTTCTCTTGTGAATATCTTGATGTGCTTCACTTCATTATTGTACCTATGGGCAATGAATAACTTATGAATATAAATGTGTTTTCAATCTGGAAAAATCAATAATTACTTGACAGCATGCCCAAACTTTCCATGAATAAATTCTTAAGACAAAACACATATCCATGCCAATACGCTGCTGACACCTAATTAACAAAAGACATTTATTAGGGTTCAGTTTAACATACCCGCCTAAATTCAGATTTAAGAAAAAGCCTCCCAGCAATATCTAATTATTGGATCCCACCAAGCTGATTGCATTCAAAAGATATCAACAACTTTTCAAAAAAAAAATATTATTCCTTCGGTATGATATCCTTGTTCCCATTTGATTCAAGGGATTTGGCTTCAGTTGATAGCTTGATCAATTCTGAAAAATTTCTAGTTAAAATGCAAATAGACATTTAAATCACTCTTTACTAGCTATCATAAAATCATTTGTGTTCCAAGTCACAGAACCATTACGACGCCCTCCCAACAGAAGAGTTTACTTGCAGAAGGTAATAAAATTGGATCCCAAAATAAGAGAAGAAAGCTGACGCCATGCAAGACAAGGCTATGACTGTATTAGAGGATTGCTGGATTAGGACTCCCCTAATCCCTAAATCCTAACACCCAAACATGGTGATTGAAAAGTTGGGTGTAAGAACTTTTCTGATTTTGCTCTTCCTTAAGCACAATTGTTAGATTCCAGAGAGCCAGTTTGTTATGGTGGATAAGGCATTGGGTTAAAAAAGTATATTCTAGTCCTGCACAGAAACACAGGCACAGAATCCAGCTGGGTGACTACGGCACAGTCACTTTCTCATAGCCTTAGAAAGAAGCAGACAAAAGCAAACCACTTCTGAAAATGCTACCAAGAAAACTTCATGTGCTCCATGTAGCTGCCAGGAGTCAAGGCTTTGTTGAAGGGGGGGTACAGCAGCAACAACTTCATAATAACAGAATAATAGTGACTAGGGACACTAATTTCAAAGAAGTTCAGCATGGCAGGCAAGCCAAAACTACTTTTCAAACCCATCAAGGTTTTCATAATATTTTTTTAACCAATGAATCTAACCAGAGTATCCTTATCAAAAAAAAAAATCCATATTGCATATTGGCCTATCAGTTGCATGAACAATGTCAAGAAACATGTAATTCGCTTACTTAATGCTAATGGCATATTCTCCTGATTCTTTAGTCCTATACCGTACTAAGTAAGTGCTGTTTATCCGGTTAATAAGTTCTGCTTCTGCTTGTAATCTTTCCATTTTTCCGGCGTACCTGAAATAAAGTGAAGTTTATTTTACTATATTTTCTGTATTTTATTTTGTTGCTCCAAACTCAAACATAATATTTTGATTAGGCCAAACCTGGTGGCAAGAATCATATGCAACAATCATGGGCAGATATGCCCACAACAGAATGGGTATTTCATTCTGTTGTGGGCAAAAAAAAGTATCTAACTTCCATTCTGCTGGCTATAACATTCTCAGTAATACAGTCAAGCACCACTAACTACATTTCTTGAACTGCAGATACATCCAACCAATTGCAAAATACAGAAATTCTGTGAGTGCCACAGAAGATCATCTGTGGATGGAACCCTTCTTCTTTTTTGCCAGTATTAAGACACTGGTACTTTGTTTCCATGATTAGAATGGTACTCTGATATAGGTACAATTGAAATGTTATATTGCTGTATTTTTTGTATAATCAAAACCTTTAGTCTACCTTAAATTCACCAAGGCATATCACACGTTGACTTAAGAGAAAGATAAAAGATGATAACTGATTAATGGCTTGCGAGGTGAGTCTTCTTCCTATGAGTCTCCTATGAGAACAAATAATTTTTCTATCTTTCTCTTTTTAATCAGTGTACCAAACTCAGTGACACCCATGTACCAGAATTACCTCTCCCTCAAAAATTAAATTAACTTAATTCAATTTAAATCTTTCAGAGCATAAATGAATCCTGCATCTGAGAAAAGTACAGGAGTATAGATCTTGGCAAAATACTACATTATCTGCTGGCATGCATCATATCGAATCCATTTTCTATTCTCATCACCGTGGTCAACCATACTGAAACTCTCGAAAAATCAGGTAATTCAAAGGGACATCCAGAAACAAATTTCCTAGGAAAATGATGTAAATTGTATGTATGGGTCCTATGGAATAGTTTGTTTCTTGCTCTCTTCAATTGGAAACTGGTATCAAGGACATCTCTATGAAAGGACAATTAAGCAAGATAAGGGAGTGGCTGGACTTTCTGGACTTAAATTTGGGACGATAAGAGATCATGACTGTGTTAAAACTCATTCAAATGCAAAGTTGGCAGGCTCTGAAGGAGTAGCCATAGCTTATTATATCATTTCCCAGAGATACAAAATTGGTTGCAAGTCAGGTTTATCCATGCAAAAATACAGTTATGCAGTATATATACTCAATTATTTTTGCTTATATTACAACAAGATGCATTCCTTAGAAGATCAGAAAGGTTAAACCACAACAAATTAGATTTCTATTAATATCATTTTTCTCTCAAGCTATTTATTTGAATTATCAGCTCTGCCTAAAATAAAAATGTAACAATGTATAGCTACCTACCATGTCTGAGAAGAATAGTCTACTGGCTTAGGGACCTAAAATAAGATAAACATATTAAAACAAAATACAATTAAATGTAATAAAACAAATTGCAAAAAAAATCAATAAAATAATTTACCACTAAATATGTACATCTCAATGAATTTTACCCATTTTCAGAAAATGATTAAATTGTTTACTCTGCATTATTTGTGGCACTGTTGCTCAATATTTCAGTTTATACAATTAAGTTTTTAAAAATTACGTTTAGGTGACATGATACAATCAGTTAATATAAAGCTTTATTACAGAAGTTTTCTTACCTAGATTGGGGTAATTAAATTCACCATTTATTGGAATATGTACCAAAGTAAATTAATCATCCAAGCAAAAAAGCAACATTTTATAGCAAATTTAAGTTGACCCACCAAATATAGGACCACCTGTTTATTATCTATTTTCTTCTCAGAAATACTGATGTTTCATTCTACATTGTAATAGACAGAATCAAGCAAAGTAGGAATAATCAAAAATATATTTTGCACATCTCCAGAGAACAAGAATGCAAGAAAAATATGGCTGCTGTTTTCAAAAGCAGTCATGTACCTATTGTGAGGCCTATTCTCAGTCTAAATATGTACGTGCATAAGATGTTCATCAACTAGATTTTACATTTCAAAGAGATGAACTACAAAAGTACAATCTGCTTCAAATTAAGCACATTTGAACCCTATCAAGATTAGTTATTAAACAATTACATTGTGTCTTATTTCATTGAACAAACCAATATTTTATTATTGCTTCGATTATACTCTTATGTCTAAATATTTATCTTTCTATGTAACATCAATGCATTTTTTCTAGATGTACTATAATATTAATTGCATTTTCCTCTGGATTTTAGTATATAATGGTTCTATATTTGAGAATGGCAATTCTACTATTCTATTATTCCAGACAATAATTTAACTTCCTTATATTAATTCTATAATGCTTTACTATGTTCTTATGGCCAAAATTCTTAAATGGAAACTTACAATTTTATTTGTGTTGTTATATAACTTTATACATTGTTTTATTGTAGTCACCTTCTATGCAGTATTGATAGTTAAATGTGACTATTTCCCCCCCCCAAAAAAATGTTTTTCTGATCAGATATCCAAACTAAAATGACTGTCTGACCAAACTTTTATCTTTCCCAATTCACTAGTACTTGGAAAGCAGAACTATTTAATGATAATGCTATCAGATACAGGTTGTCCTCAACTTACAACCATTCATTTAATGACCGTTTAAAGTTATAAAGGCACTGAAAAAAGTGACATCACCATTTTTCACACTTATGACCACTGCATCCCCATGGTCACATGATCAAAATTTGGATGTTTAGCAACAGGTTCATATTTATGATGGTTGCATATCCTGGGGTCATGTGATCACCTTTTGTGACCTTCTAACAAGCAAAGTCAATGGGGAAGCCAGATTCACACGACAACTGTGTTAAATGTCTATGGAGATTCTCAGTCATCCAGGTCATAGTTGTCCCAAAGATGCTTCTTGGATGAGAAGCGAAACATCTTCAAAGAAAAACAAGAAAATCCAGTTGCCTCATGAAAAAAGCATCTTTGGGATGACAAGTATGTTACTAACTTAACTGCTGCAGTGACTCACTTAATAGCTGTGGGCACAAAAGGTCATAAAATAGAGCAAAACTCACTTAACAATGTCTCGCTTAGCAACATAAATTTTGGGCTCAATTGTGGTCATAAGTTAAGGACTCCCTGTAATGCCTTCTGGAAATAACAATCCCAAAAGATCTCTTTGAGAATTGTTTTTATTTGACTGAATAAAAAATCTTTTGGGTTATGGTAAACTGACATCACAGCCACACACAAATTTATATGTGTCAACCTCATCATATTGATTTCAGGCAGTACCACCCTTGAGTGCTAAAATGTTCCCCTTCCCCAGCTCTGCACTGCTGGTTTTAACCGTAAATTTAACAGGAAACATCTTATTGCAGCTATTTATTGCTATCTATATAATACAAATATTTATATTTATTTTCAGTCCCGGCCATTCTTTTTCCTGCTAGGAGAGAAGATTTAATGTCTCTATCAGCTAGCTCTATTTCCAGAGCATACTTTCAGCCTATTTCCCTTTACTATTACAAATCACTTGTTCCCCCCCAAAAAATTAACTGAATTTTAACTGAATTTTCACCCTCAAAGCAGGGGGGAAAAATGCTCCAGTTGTGAAACAGCTGTTCTGAGCCCTGAACCTTGAAACAAGAATTTCACACTCCAAAACAGCCATTTTGAGCTTGAGATACTTCTCCAAATACTTAGAAAGTAATCCAATTCACACTTGAAATACAGTTTTTGGCACTCAAAATGGGGTGTTTCAAATTCAAAACACTTTGCACCTCCTTAACCTGTAAGTAAGTCATCCAACAACTGCAAAACCTACACAGAAGTATATAATCAGTGCGGATAAAAATCAACTCTTCTTGGGAACAGAACAGAATAAGATGGGGTAGAATGACAAGTGCTTGAACTGAAGAGTCTTCACTTCCATCCTTCATGATTCCCCTCTCTCCTGCCAACTGCCCTCCACCCCACAGGCCCCATCAGGCGCCACTTATTATGGCTACAACTCATAATCCCATTTGGTCTTATTCATTCCCTTGTTAAGGATTGTGGAAGATATAGTATAACATCTATAAAGAGAGAGCTGGGCAGTTGAAAAATGCGAAAAAAATAAATAAAATTTTTTGAACAGGCCACAACACAAGCTGCTAAACTATAACACATAAAATCATTTTTAACTCAGGATTCATATTCCAACAAAAGCCTTGTGTGAAAATGAATGATAACAGACTTCAAACCTTTATTAACAACAATAAAAAAACCAGAATGAAAGCTAGTAAATATGAGCCACTTTCATACAATATGAAAATGTCTTGCTGCCACATATTTCAAACCACCGACAGAAAAACGCCTATCAGTATTATCTCAGAACGCACCATGCTGTAGATATTCTAGGCTCTCATCCATTTTTCATTTAATATTTATTGTTCGTTTCTTTTGATGTATGTATTTTATGCTGTTTCTGAGCACTTCTCTATGGATCAGATATAAGCATTGTTACATAATAATAGTAATAGTAAAAGTGATGGTGCCTTGAAGATTTGATGGATGCTTCAGAATTTTCCAACTGTTATCATTTGTCAAAATGGAATGGCGATGCTTGCTACTTGTAAGGGAACAGTGGTAAAACATCGATTTATCTTTTTAGCAACACCATGCTTCTAATATACCAGGCACTGATGTTTATTCATACTTGAACTCGTGCAAGTTTTACAACTAAACTTCTCCCTTGCAAAAATAGAATAATTTCACTAGTTTATATATAATATCTCTGTACCTCAATATATAATTACTCCTAAATTAAATATGGAGTTAATTAATTTAGCCAGTATTAGTTTTACTTACTGTATGTTGCAGCAGGATTGTACTAAGGGAATAGTGAATCATTTGTGATAAGTAAAGGAGAACATTAGGAAGAAAAGATTGGTAGGGATAACTATGAAAATGATGTCTAAAGAAGGTTGACAGAGACATTGCAGTGAGTTGGAAAGCCTGGAGACAACCAAGGAATAAGAGACTGAATGGAAGAAAGGAAGACATAGATGTACATTAGGAGACTTGATTCCAGTCTGAAAGAAAAATTCCATCTGACGTGCACCATAGTGATAAGTGGCAGAGACACAGGAAGGGGTGGAGTCATATGTTTGATACCCCTGTGAAAGTCGCAGGAGAAGGGTGGAGAAATGTGGTGGTCACCACTGGATGTGACAAGATAGGATGGTACAAGATTGGAAAACAGCCAGCGTTGCATTCCTCCTAGCTCTACTGTTGCCAGTAGAGTTAATTTAGCCAACGATCGCGGGATCGTTGTTACAACTGGAACTTTACGGACCCGTTGTAAGTACCATGCATTCGACACCTTCACAATTTCATACAGTTGCTGAATGAGTGGTTGATAAGTTAAGACTTTCTCTGTGTATGTGTTTGGGTATGTATGGGTATGTATGTGTGCGTGTGTGTGTATTTTTCCATTCAAGTGTGTTCAATTCTTGAAGATTGCCTGGACAAGTTCTTGCATTTTTCTTGGTAAGATTTTCAGAAGTAGTTTGCCGTGGCCTTCTTCCTAGGCCTGAGAGAAAGTGACTGGTCCAAAGTCACCCAACTAGCTTTGTGCCTAAGGCAGGACTAGAACACCCAATGCCACTACACCAAACTGACCGTGTGTGTGTGTGTGTGTGTGTGTGTGTGTGTGTGTGTGTGTTTGAAAATTGAGCAGTTCTGCTAGTTAAATTCTCATCAGTTAGACCGATTTTAAGCTGATTTCCTTCAAACTTCTACTTTGAAATCTAATAACCCACAACATAAAATTGTCTTTTTAAATAAAATTAAGACTGCATACAACCTCACCACCACCACCACCACCACCACCCACATAGTATATCTTATTGCATCATGAAAAATTATTTTTTAAAAAAAAACTTAGGAAGAAGCAGGCAGATTAGCTGCAGACCTTTTTTGTAAAAGCAATCATTCTGACAAACATAATTATATAGTGCTACTTACACATGGGCAAGGCTTTACTGCATCACTTGGAAAGAAACCAAGCTCCTGGGTCATTAAATTTCTACCCTACAGAGAGACAACAGAAAAAATAAATATATACAAATGCCATCTATATTCAGAGCAATTTAAGCTTGCACATTATGATTGCCAAATGTTGCTGAATAATTCATTCATGTTCAATACCTGCTTAGATTAGAATGACTAATAGCTAATATAGAAACTCTGAAGATTGAGGCTTTCACAGTGTAGGGATAAAATTATATAATTTACATTGGTATGACATCTACTTTGGGTCTATTTTTGAATAATTTCTGGTTAAGGATAAGTAAATCACTTTATGTCCAATCCATGTCACCTGTCTAGGTGTCCACTTGTAGCTTTCTACTCCTTGATCCTTCTAACAGTAGACATGGTCACCCACTTGAAGTCCCAGTGGAAGAAGCATTGCTGATATGGAGATCCTACAAACAATATCATCAAGCTTAGAAGATCCTTGAACAAGGAAAGATACTGCAAACCTGTTATGTTCCCGGATGTCTTGGACTTTCAAAGATTAACAGCCCATTTGTAACAATGATTGCATTGGCTTCTCTGTATCATTAGTGACTGGATCAATTTCAGAATGTGATGCCAGAGGATGCAGATAGATTACTTGGAGTGATAAATTTCATCATTAGTTCCCTTGATTTTTACTCAATCTGGCTCACAACTTTCAGCAGGGAGATAATTAAACGTAACTTGGTTAAAAAAAAGTAACAATCTTCTCTCGGGAAGACAAAACAGGTCCTTTTTTAAAGAGAAATTATAGGATTCCCCAGAAATAGACAATTGCTGTATAGACTAATTTCCAACCTTCTGAGATTGCATAAAGAAATTAAACCAGTGATGTTTTTTTCATTACAAGACTTCTTTTCTTCCTTCCTTCCAAGCTGGCTTATAAATAAAACTACAGGGTTGAAATTATCCGGACAATCACTCTTTGGAGATGAAGCAAAAGAGTACAACTCTGTTAATTCTTCATATCTTCTCAGTGGCTTTTTATACTGGATTGATTGTCTACAAATCTTGAAATAGGAAACACATTTTTAAAGGATGTCTCTCAAGCAAAGTTTAGATGTTGCTTAAGAAAAGTTGCTCCTTGAAGCAAAAGATAGTATCTCTCTCAGGTTTTCCATCGAGGCAATAGTCAGGAGCCTGTCTTATCAGTTATGGTAATATGTCAATTGCATATTTTCCTGAAATAAAATGAGCTCAAAATCATGGTATACGTATACCATGTCCAGATGGACTACTACACGTTGGTCTTTGTAGTCTTCTATTCCAGAAGCTTCAGTATTCTGATAGACTGCAAAGAATAGTACACTGGATTCCATTTTGTCTCTGGGCTATGGTGGAATGTAGTCCGGATTCTCAGGAGGGAGGGAGGACAAAGAGACAGCAAGGTTTAGACAGTTTGGTTGGGAGGAAGAGAATCAAGATAGCTCCTCCCTAAAAGTTCTCAGAGTATATCTTTAATGATGCAAGTAATTTGCTTTAGTTTGGCAAGATTACTGTCCATATATGAGAAACAATATAGGAAACTGCTTGGAAGAAACTCAATGTGTTTTTCTTGGTTAATGGAGTCTAACATGGGTAGAATATACAATGTTGCTTATTGAATTAACCAGAAGAGATATCTCTGAATTTAAGATGACTTCATGTTCCCTCCCTCAAACGAAATTAGACAGAAAAATATTACAAACAGATCAAATCCTGGATAATTTTCCTTATCAATAAAGGAGTGCACGGAGCACACAAAAATAAGAAGCCAGGCATCAGTAAAGTACACTGAAAAGTCCTTCAGCTCACTGAACTGCCTGATGATTGCATTATCTGGCCAAAACCCAATACAGGCAGTCTCAAAGACACCCAAGTCCTAAGCCATGTTATGCTTTATAAATAACGAGGACATTGCACTCAAAAATTGACCAGTAACTAATCTAGCTCATGCAACAGTGACGTCAAATGGCAATAACAAGCCTGTCCAGTAAGCACATTAGTAGCTACCTTTTGCAACAAAAAAAAAAAGATATTTAAGGACAATTAATTTGAGTAATCCATATAGGAGGTGAAAAGAGCATGAATGACTGAACTGACAGCCCAGCCAAAGCTGGACAAAGGTCATTCCAAGAGCTATGAATCCAGAAGCAGCTTCAGGCCTGCTCTTTCAGGGAAAACACAACCCCACCCAAACCCAAAGTTGGAATATTCCCAGAATTAGTAAGCGTCTGAGTTAACTGCCACTCCATCTTGCTTGGGGGAATTCTGAGGCTGTACCTTCCCATTTAAGCTCTGACAGCTTACAGACATCAGGGCAGGACTTTTATCACATGCCCCATATAATTGAATACTATCAGCAAATTAGACACTTCATTTCGTAACAAGATGATTTGCTCAAGTGATAGTTAAAAAAAAAAGGCTCAGGATTTCATACAGGAGTGGCCACTGCCCTATTCTTCTTCCCCAAAATGACAGAGTGGACTCACTCCCTTAGAAAGGAGTGGAACCACCATACACAATGTCCCAACTCTCACAGACAACCCACAAGGATTCAGTTGCTCCATGAATGTTTCCCAAAAGATTGCTGTCAATTACCCAGCACACAGATGCACATTACAGATTAACTATGTGTGTCCCCATATATAAAAATAGCATTATGTGTGTCCATTAAGACCAGCTCAAATCTATCCTTCATTATATTGTCTTTGTTCTACTTGTTGGTTATTGTTTATACCAATACTGGGCATTTCAAGTAAGCAGAATACATTATTTTCAAAATCGATTATATTTAAAAAGAAAGGGAATGTAGAAGTTTGTGCTTTAAATTGAATTTTAAGATAACTATCAAAACTTGGAGCACAATTAAAATACTGAGCCTTTGAAGTATAGTCTGCCTTTTATCACAGATGCATGTTGTTTTTTTCTTTTGAACTTATACAAAGTTGAATGGTGTGTTTTTAACCCTGGGGTAAATCCCAGAGATGCCAAACTATTTAGCATAAATTGTGATTCAATTCTAATTTTGCAGGTTCTCTTTAACACTGCATAATATTCTGCACTGCCTTTTTAATGCAGATAGGGAACCTCAGAAAAGTACAAATATTCTTTATAACTATCTTCTATAATCAGAATATAAGCAAGAATTGTATGAGTAATGAAAAGTATTTACAGCACTCTAGGTAAATCTGGATTCAACTCTTTGCTTCTGCCATTCCTGCCACTCTTTATTAGCAAACTGAGCTAATAAAATGATATTGTACCTGCCAAAATAAGCTATGTGCATCTCCTTTGATGAGTTCAATGATGTCTCCAATCTGGATGAATAATGGAGGACCATCTGGTGGAACTGGCTGGGGAGTCCCAGTATAGTTTTTAATCACTTGCATTTTTGGTAAACCTTTTGAGAAAGGAAGAAAAATGAGCAACCCGCATGTGATAAAAAGTTAAAGCAATGTATTATCTCATATAAACTCCCCCTTTTCTAACACTGATATTGTTTCCTGAATGGAAGGTCCTATCCCGGACATTCTTCCTCAAATAAATTCACTAGTCTGATGGACTTTTTTTGGAAACTTATACTCTCCCTTCTCTCACTCAGTTGCATTCTTTCACTCAAGAGCGTACAAATGAAAATTGAAAGCAATCACTGAAATAGTATAAGAGGGTTCAGCTCATAAATATCAAGGGAAAATTAATAAAAGTTCAAGTACAGGTAGTCCTTAAGTTACGACCACAACTGAGTCCAAAATTTCTGTTGCCAAACAAAACAGTTTGCTAAGTGAACTTTGCCCCATTTTACAACCTTTCTTGATACAGGTGTTAAGTGGATCACTGCAGTTGTTAAGTTAGTAACATGGTTGTTAAGTGAATCTGGCTTCCCCACTGACTTTCCTTGTCAGAAGGTCGCAAAAGGGTGTCACGTGACTCCGGGACACTGCAGCCATGAAAAATATGAAATGGTTACCAAGCATCTGAATTTTGATCATATGACCATGCAAATGCTGCAATGGTCATTAGTGTGAAAAATGGTGGTAAGTCACTGTTTTTAGTGCCCTCGTAACTTCAAACTGTCACTAAATGAACTGTGGTAAGTCGAAGACTAGCTGTAACTTGTTCTTTCAACAAAAGACTTAGGTACAGTGAAGTTAAAGATGACTCAAAAGTCTGGGATGTGCTCTCATACACTTCTCTGACTTGCTTAAAGGAAATATTTTTCTTTAGGCTGTTGCCTAGTTCCTAAAACAGCAGCATGTATAGTTTTAAATGGAAAGGAATCATTCTTTTGTCAACAGTTCACTCCGTTCAAATCAAATCTTTATGATGATCAAAGACCGGCATAAGCAGGGCAGGGTACAATCAGTTAGAAAGCACAGAAAAGTCAACAAAGTCTAAAAATAATAATAGTGGTACAAACTTAAAAGATATAAAACAGAAAGTATATATAAAAACAGAAGTCTAAAAAGGAGGGGTAGAAGAATTAGATGCGCCTTAGCATAAAGGTTAGTGTGTGGCAGACCAAACCTATCATACTGTAGAACATCATGACGAGCTGAATGCTCATTAAAATTTGTTTATGGCACAGATCATCATATGATGCACAGAACCTGGTAACATGGTATGTTGTAGCCACATTAGTATCTGAAAGCAGCAAGGAGCTGGAGAATTGTCCGTGCCCTGAATCTTTATGCAATAATGGTGAGATGGGGCTATATTCCAGGGCAGTATAGGCCAGTGGTGGCGAACCTATGGCACGGGTGCCAGAAGCGGCACTCAGAGCCCTCTCTGTGGGCACGCGTGCCATCGCCCCAGTCCTAGGCCTTCAGCTGGGTTTTATAAAACCTTTTCGCTTTAGGCCTCTGCTGCCATGTGCAAAAAAAAAAGGTTCAATCAATCAGTCAATTTCAACTTCTCGCGGGAAAAAAGAGATCTTGCAAAGTTGGAATTGATTGAACTTTTTAGTCCCACCCAGTCTGCCATTACCACTGCAGCCACGCCCAGCCAATGGGCCACACCCACCCAATGGGCCACACCCACCCAATGAGCCACACCCACCCGGCACCCGACGATGCATAAGTGGGTTTTGGGTTGCAGTTTGGGCACTCGGTCTCTAAAAGGTTCGCCATCACTGGTATAGACACTGGAGAAGCACATGGTCTGTTTTTTCTATGCGACCAGGGACATTGACTATCCAGGTAGAGAAATCTTCCTGTATTGGCCTTCAACAACAGAGGAGATGCAGGTAATCATCTTCACCAATGGCTCATGCCTTTTGAGAGCAGGTACGTTTGTGGCTTTGTAAAGGATGTATCTCAAAATTATCTAATTTTAGGGCAAAGGGAGAAAAACAATAATGCTTTAGATCTGGATATGAGAAAACACATTTGTTTTACTCACATCTCCACTGGAAAGAAAATATGTTTAGTCACAAGCTATGCCATGTTTCTGACATAATCGTTTGAAAAGAAAATGTCAGTTTTTCCTACGTGGTATTGGATTTTCACAGTAGCTTCTTTCGTTTGATCTCATGACTGGTCTCATTCGAGACGACGATGAATCTGCATTATGGACAGAAGTTGAACAACTGGCCCTGTGGTGTGACCGGAACAATCTTGAACTGAACACACTCAAAACTGTAGAGATGATAGTAGATTTTAGGAGAAGCCCTTCCCCTCTTACAATAGTAAACAACACAGTATCAACAGTAGAGATCTTCACATTTCTAGGTTCGATGATATCTCAGGACTTAAAATGGACACTTAACATCAAAAACGTCATCAAAAAAGCACAACAAAGAATGTTCTTCCTGGGCCAACTCAGAAAGTTCAAGGAGCTGCTACAATGGAATTACTGAGTCTGTCATTTGCACCTCTATAACTGTCTGGTTTGGCACAGGAATGAAACAAGAGAGACACAGACTTCAACAGTTAGTCAGGACTGCAGAAAAAACTATTGTAACCAGCCTGCCTTCCACTGAGGACCTGTATACTGCACGAGCCAAAAAGAGGGATGTGAAAATATCTACAGACCCCTCACATCCTGGACATAAACTGTTTCAACTTCTTCCCTCAAAATGACGCTATAAGGCATTGCATGCCAAAACAACTAGACATAAGAACAGTTCTCCCATGCCATCACTCTGCTAAACAATTAATTCCCACAATACTGTCTTATGCCCTGGGCCTGGGATGTCAAAATACCTAGTAGGGCTGTATTACTATTATCCTTCTCATCTTGCCTATTATCTATTTCCTTAGCTTCTTATGACTATGACCTTGTTCTTTGTATCTTATGATTAATGTTGATTGCTTTTATTTAGTATCCTATTATGATTTATGTTGATTGCTTATTTAGTATCCTATGACTATCATTGAGTGCTGTATCTTATGATTTATGATTATTGTATTTTATAATTATGATCATGATTTATCACTGTTGCTTGCATGTACACTGAGAGCTTATGCACCAGAGACAAATTCCTTGTGTGTCCAATCACACTTGGCCAATAAAGAATTCTATTCTATTCTATTCTATTCTATTCTATTCTATTCTATTCTATTCTATTCTATTGTTATGTTATGTTTGTTATGTTATGTTATGTTATGTTATGTTATGTTATGTTATGTTATGTTATGTTATGTTATGTTATGTTATGTTATGTTATGTTATGTTATGTTATGTTCTTCTTTTGTTGTACATTATGAACAATTCTGATGGTCAAAAGCATCTATTCTAACGGCTTTTTAGAGAATCATGTCCATTACACTACCTAAAAAATAAATGTGTTAGGGTGAAGGCATCTGAGTTGCTATTTTTTTAATGAAAAATTGTGCTTTTAGATGTTTGTTTGACTTACCAACTGAGCAGAAAATAAATGGCCCAGTAATTCTTTTGACCTTTGGGCTAACTGCTGGAATTATTCTGTGTGTTTATCTAAAACCAAAAATCTGGGCTAGTTTCCAGATGCTTATTTATTAACTGGCCTTTTTTTTTTTTTACAGATGCAACCGTCTAGCAGTGGTATACAGGCATGCTTGAGCTGAGGTACTGCTGCTTGGTTCATCAAGTCTCAGCAAGCTATTGCAGGGTGTTCCTCTACTTGAGCAACATATGTATGTTCTTCTGTCATTGCACCTGTCTGCTCAGCTACCTTGAAGAAAAAGAAGCAATACCTCTGTCTGAGACAGAATGCATTACCCACAATTCAACCCAGGTATGCAAGGGGGATGATGTCCCAGATGGTGGACAGAAAAGGACATCCTCCAGGGTCCCAACAAGAAGTACACTACTCAAAGCATCCATTTATTTTATTTTATTTATTTATTTATTTTACAAAATTTATATGCCGCCCTTCTCCCCATGGGACTCAGGGCGGCTCACAGCATGTTAAAAACAATATACAAAATTACCCCTTCTAAAAACCAATTAAAATCCAAATATTAGTGGCTGTGACTATTTAAAATCATTAAAAATTTTCCCTATTTAAAATTCACCCTAGGTCAGGCCCGCTTGTTGAAAAAGC